TTAGGTAAAGTATTTCTATCTTGACACAGCAAATACCAGTTATTTCTGGATATCTCCTGTTACAAACCGAATTTGCGAAGAGGAAAATTCAAACTAACTACTATAAGAAAATTAACACGGCGAGCTCAGCGTCAGATTTGTCTTCCCTAACATCTACATCACCACGATTTTAAAAACTGATAAACTCTCTATCATCACGAAACTACAGTAAACTGCAAGTCTTCAGAGAAAACTGAGTCCAAAGTTAGTTAAAAAAATCAATCGATTTATAGTAAGTCTGCATAAATATTAGTTTCCAGTTCATAAATAAAATTATACAACTATGCAATTATCTATTAAAGACTTATAAAACGCCAAAGATAAATTAATTATGTTACGGCTACTATGCAGAAGTTACTCAGTAATATATCCATAATTTTAACTTTAATAAGCATTGAGAAGAGGCGATTCTAAATTTCCGAGATGAAATGTCCTTGTAATATTTAAGGAAACAGTTTCTGAGTTATAAACGAATGGAGCCAATACCGAAATCCGAATTAATTCGCATGTTTATTGGTGCTTGTGGGATGTTTATTAAGAAAGAATTTCTATCTTATCAATATACGCAGTTAATGCCAGCCATCTCTAGTGGTATCCATAACTATAATTTTGGTGAGATCTTAGAAAAAACCAATTTCTAATTAATTTGTGAAGATGTAGTGCTATCCTTGAAAAAATTAAAGAAAGAATTTTGCATTACTAGCCAATATACGAGTTAATACTGACGTCTGAACTTATTTGCATGCTTACTATTGCTTATGGGATATTTTAGGAGGATTTCAACCTTGCAGGTCTATACAATCAACAGTAGCTACCTCCAGTTTATTTGCATAATTATAATTTCTGATGGGATTGAGAAGGATGGTTTCTAGTTATTTTATAAAGGTAATCTGTCGTCCTTAAAGTATTTATTACAGAAGAATTTCTGCGTTATGAGCGAATATTGTCACGTATACATGCACGTAAATGTACTCGTATATCCCTTATAATTCCTTTAAAGTATTCAAGAAAAGGCCATAAATGTATATAATCAGCTTACATAAATTCTATCGCAATACTTCTACTCATGTGCAACGCTTATAATTTCTGTGAAGGGATATGGAAAGAGTATTTATATGAAGGATTAGAAACGAAACGTGCGTAGTATCATGTAAATAATGTGATTATTATTCTACTGCGATTGCCAAATGATATGCTTGATAATTTCTTCTACTATTCATACTTTGTAGTTTTTCGTAGTGTTTGTCACATAAGGATTTCTACTCTGAGTGTAGTTTTCTAACACTGACAAATTCTTCTATTGATTGACGAGTATGTTCTTACTATTTTCCCATGAAATACTGCGGAGAATTTCTGGCTAACGAATACAGATACAGTAATTGGCTTACATACTTAATTATTAATTTACATACAGTGCGGTAGTTCTGAAAGATATTCCTGTTCAATTTTTAGAATGAAATACCATCGCGTTAGCTAACCACTAACATAATGAACTCAAAAAATGCTCAGCCTATATATATACTGTATAGCTATGACTAGAAATATATACCGTAATTGTACTGTACATTAGATCTTACCAGGTATACTCACTACTCAGTTACTAATTACAACGACGATAAGTGAAAGTTTCATACTGGCAGTTTACAAACAGTTTAATTTTGCAATCTTCTTCTTACATTATCACGCAAGCTTTAACTTAGTCAAAAATAGAAATAATCGCATTACAGTTGTTATAGGAAGGTTGTAACAGGATACCATGAAGCTTAGTGACATATACGAAATAAATTTAAATATATACCTAGATATATCTTTGATATTATATATGATATTTTGGACTATAGTATTTAAGGAAGAAGATGATAAAAATCGCTTATATGCACAGAGTAAATAACCATTAGCTGGCTTATCGCCATCATGCACTAACAATGTAACAAGCGCATTTGGTAGCAAGCTATGGTAATATATTTAAATACGAAATGCATAAACGGCTAATACTTAAATCAGTGGTATTTACAAAGCAAAAGCATGGCTGATGTCATCCAGTGATATGCCTTAATAATACCAATCTTACAGTGCAAAATCTAATACAAAATTTGACCTTGCACATGAAAATACTCAAAGTAGTAAATTATGCCATAGATATCTGATATCTCTAGTAATACGATTAACAATAAACAACAGTAAGTAAAAATAATCACTGCTCGAGAATAAATGATAATGCTGGCAATAGTATGATACATTATTTTTATATATGATAGCAGCTTCTATAGCAATACTTACCTTTAATTATAAATCGAATAATTTTTAAACATTTTCTATCATACAAGCTCGTAAATATAAACAATGATACTAATTAATTAATGAAAGGCTAAGCAAGTTGCATATTTTCTGTAACGCTGTTTCAGATACTAATTAATTATTAAAGAGAAACGTTATTTTACATTTCATGTTATCTGATGACTAAAGAAATGTAGCGGTAGTGATTATCCAAGACTAATGGCTGAGTTCTTGGACCCAAGTTTTATCGAGTCTGAAAAGGTTTCTTCTTAAGTGGTTTGTTATTATGCAACAGTGTTGAAGCATTAAATTTTGATCCAGTTTTGAAACGAGGCGAATGATCACTCTTATTTGAATGTATTCCACGCGATAGAGTTCCAGCGTTTTCCTTTGCGCGAAATTTACTAATTAAGAAAATAGATATGATTAACATTAAATATAATAAAGGGATTAAATGAATATACAGACGTAATTGCTTTATACAAACAGCAGTAAAATTATAACAAAAAATTTGTTCCGAAATTGAACTATATACGAGAGTATAAAAAACAATTACTTTTTATTGAGATTGAGGCCAACAACTGAGTCAGATAAGACTCTCTTTTTTGCTGCAGTTGCAGTAGTCATCTTAACATGCAATCGATGGCTTCCATTAATATCTATTAGAAAAAAATTTACCTTATTAACCAGATTTTCTTTTACTACTTGCTAATATTTGCAAAATAATAATTAAGCCTAGCTTACCTGTTAAAGCTCTTGAATGCAACGCTGATTTATGAGGAGTATAGGCTCGTGGCTTAGAGCCCGATGACGAATGTCTTGAAGTGGGAACTCTTTCTGGCATTCCCGTATTCGGTCTACTCCCTGCATTGTTACTTTCTTTCACCATTTTCTTAGGTTTATCGTCATTTTCACTGCCAACTGTAAAAGTTGAATCTAAATCATCACTTTTTGGCTCTTCATCCTCAACTTCTGTTGTAAAAGTTAAATCTAAATCATTATTCCTTGTCTTTTCGTCCTTTACGACTGCTGGTGAAACAACTTTAATACCAGCCATGCCATTAGCAAGGAAGCTAACATTTGTTAAATTCTTGCCAGACATGTTATCTTCAGGTTCAGAGTCGGAATTGATAATTCCTTGGCTCATGCAGTTTTGAAAGTCACCATTAGTTACTTTATCGGCTATAACTGGTGACATTTTAATGCGCTTAGCAGGTAAAGGCGTTATTTGATTAGTTTGTAGCTGTTTAGGTGAGTTATAATCACTAATGGGAGGTGCCATATAAGTCACAGCATCTTCAGAATTTGTATCTTCTGCATTCTTTCTCTTTATAGACTGTTCAGTTACACTTTCAGATACTGCATTTCGTAGACCGATATTACTTATACAATATTTACTTGGAGTAAGACTTTGTCCGTTATCTTTCCTTGGACTAATTTTATTTTGCAGTAGGTTACTGAAATGCACATTTGTAATATCGCCAGCAAGTTGACAATGATTATCATCGGCCCAAGCTACTTCCTTTTCCAGGCTTACAGATGACATGATATCTCGATAATCTTCGACAATTTTTTCTGATGCGACATTGTGTCTTTGCAATTCTAAAAATTGATTCTTAACCACCTGTAATAGTCTAACAGTAAATCTGAGAACAAAAAAGACCTAAGTATTAATTTGCAATATCGTCAAGTGACAATGTCTATCGCTTTGTCAAGATAATATAGAAATCATTATCATTATCATGATTAGCACAGAACAAAATCTGTACATCTTACCGTTCACTTTGTTGCATCTCTTTTTCTAAACTTTGGGCAAATTTTTTAAATGAACTTGCTTGATATTGCAATTCTTGGCAATTAGCTTTCCATCTACAGGCGTCTACAACTGCTGTTGTAAAAGATTTAGCTAAATCACTCTGATTTATAATTGAATCTTGAGTTTTCTGGGTTGTTAATAATTTAGAGGAGTTTTCAGTTAATTGAGTGTGTAAAGACTGTTTTTCTGACGACAATTGTTCTTGCTGACTCTTGACTTGATTGATCGATTTCATCAGTTTAATAGTACCCTATATTATTATATTATATATAAAAAAATTACTTTTGTAACATATTGGCTATCAATAAAAGCAATTAATGAGAAATTACCTCATTAGGTTGCTCATCGAATCCGAGAAGAGCTAGCCTCTGAGTATTTCTTTGCTGTAAGAAATTAATGATTGTGAATATAGGGCCGATTTCATAGCTGTCACCCGTTTAATAGTTATGACAATCCTTAAGTTGTCTATTAAAAATGATATACCTTTCGATATATTTTCATATCATTTCTTTGCATCAACGCATCAATATCAACAATATTGTGATGAAGAGCTGCTTGATCTTTATAAACTACATTAAGTTCGCTTCGTAATCTGCGAAAAAGTTTATAAGATAAATTATTAAGAGTGCAGCAGTTATTATTGTATTACTTTTATAATTACAATATTAATTTATAATTTATAATTTTAATTTATAATTACAATATCTCAGAAAGAGCTACTAACTTATCGACTTCGTCGATGGTCTGTGAAGTTTGATGTTGTATTTCATTTGCGATGATTTTACCATCTTCATATTCTGTAACTTTTTGTCGAAGACTTGCAACCTACAATAAAAAGTGCCATCATGTTCGCATTGGTTTGAAAATGTTATAACTTTATATTTGTAATCAAAAATCCATTCTTAGAATTTATGCTGAAAAGTTTTACCTCTTTACGTAGTTCCGCAATAATTTTCGGATATTTACTGATATGCTCGCTAATCTTTACAACGTTGGCCTTCAGCTGCAAATATAGGAGTAAGTAGCATGGTGTGAGGAGTTTTATTACCAGCATTATTAGCATTAATTTTATTTTAGACGCTCGTGCGTCAAGTTTGATCATGAGGACTTACCTTGGATTTGATACTCTTTGCACGGTCAGCGTACTTTAATGTATTATACGTATCTTCATAACTCATACTTGATGGGCTATATGTATACGATATTGTACAAATTAAGGATATGTTAGCTTTGATTGCATCTATTCAACATTAGTGGATATTATTGAAGATGTAACTGTAGTAACTGATTCATGTCTTACCTAACAGCGGCAATCATGACTGTCTGACAATTACCGCCTAGTGAATCTTTTAAAAGTCGAGTCAATTTGCTATCACGATAAGGGATATGTCTACTTTTGCTGCTATTGTTCTATAATATTAATCAATCAAAATGTAAGTAGATCATCAGCACAATGAGTTTATCTATGGAAATAAAATTCTGGTAGAATATCTTTTTTGATTTGATAAGTAACTAACTAGCAAACGAACCGAACAGATCTCTGCCAACGCATTGATACAGTTGCCCAGAGCAAGAAGTGATTTATTGATATTTGCTCCTTCGCGCATTCTAGCTCCTTTATTTGATGTTACCGTAGCTCTTTCAGAACCTGCTAAATCGATTAATGATAATTTAGCTCGTTTAAAGTTGGAACTCATACCGGTAGTTCGATCACTTTGCTTAACATAGACCTATAAAATCACGATAAAAAGAAATAGCATAATTAAGTCAATAACTTTTTGTAATCATAACGATTTTACAAAGATTCTATTGACTGACTTGGAAAACTGCATGAGATCTTGATGAGGTAGCATTGGCATCTGTAGGATGTTGAGTACGATTACTATTACCAAATTCCAACATTTTCATTAATTCCTCGGCAGACTTTGGCTGAAGCATTGGGAGAAAAATTGTTATCTAAGATAATTCTACTTCAATTACGATAGCTTTGAAAAAGCAAATTCAAAAAAAATAATAAAAAGAGTTCAAGTGAATTTGCTAGCCATCCGATGAGGTTGTACCTGATGTAAAGATAACCCTGAAACGACGACACCCTTTTGCGGATCTTCTCTAACAGCAAGGTGCTTACTGGAAGGGACTAAAAGATCTTGTATGCTTTCATTATAAACCTGTTCAGGGTAGTTGTAGAGAAAAGTCTGTGCATAAGTTGATTGCTATAGGTATGTAAATGTTTATCTTGACTAAATTTCTTAATGATGGATGTGATTTCATTGTAATGGTGAGCGATAATGCATTTGCATCAACATCAATCCAATCGAACAACAGCAAGTTTTTCATTCTATAGCGATACAGCATGGTAGACAGTATACTAGAGTTTATAGATTGTACATATTACTGTAAATTTATCTTTTGAACATTAAAAAGCTTTCGATGGTGACTTAACGCTGGACTAAGATTCATGGTTACGGAGACGCTATCTATTTATACAATTCGGTACAGTAGAGTACGTATCTTCGTCTCTTTTATTTGTCGTAAATTGTAAGCATCCTGGATTAGTTTAGTTTTATTTATTTTTAGTTGGTTATCCAGTTATTGTATGTTACCTCGATATAAGATACAGCTACTTCAAAAGCTTTATCTTTCTTTAATTCTTCAATCCTTTGATATAATTCCATCATACATAGGAATATAATGCCCGGTGAATTAGCATCACCGAGCATGGTGAACGTTTTTCCGGCACCGGTAGCACCATAAGCAAATATAGAACAATTATAACCATCGAGGACAGCATCTAGGATTAACTTTGTAGAACTTTCATGAACTTCCATTTGCGTTGCATTTTCATCAAAAACACGATCAAACATCATTCTTAAATCTTTGGATTTTCGTTTTAGTATTCTTTTTCTACAGCCAGGTGTTTTACGTAAGACTTGATCGTCTTCATCTTTAGGATCAAAGACTAACATTTTACTATCTAATGGTTGTACACAAGTTGTATAGGCCCCGTTGGACTCTTGTTGATTATGAGGTCTTACACGGACAACAACCTTCATTGCGCTACCGCTAGTATTCTTGTTATTGCCCATATCACGCTTTGCCATGACTTGAAAATTGAACTCACTAATTCTAATTGGATGAAATTGTAATCATATCACGTAGAAAGGGAGGAAAGAAAAAAAACTTGGCAAAGGATATGAATCAAGAATAACAACTTGAACTTCAAGCTCCTGCCTAGTAATACCAGTCCGTTATAAATTCTAATCGCCAATCGCACACCGTTCAAAATCAATGATGATCACGATAACATTAAATGACAATCAGTCAGTAGGCAAAATGAATCCAGGCTAATGATTGAAGCGATTATCAATGTCTTGAACTAGGCAAAAAATGATTATTCCTATACAAGTTGGAAAGATAATTTTAATTTCTGAACGACTCTCGCCAACAGTACTAGTAGAAGTAGAGTCGATCAAGCTTCCCAAAGGATCAAATTGCTTGTCTGTGGTAGTCTCACTTCAACCTTGACTCTTGATGAATCGTAATAACGTCGTGCAATGGTGCTCCAATAAAGTAATTGCTCCAAGATAGCAAGAGCGAGAGAGAGAGAGAGAGAACTAGATGTTGTGATCATCGATGAAATCTTGTAATGTTGTTCTTTCGGCCCTTATTACTGGTTGAAAATTTGAAATTGAACTTCAACGGTTGTACTGGCATTGATTGGATGATTTTAATCACGTGATAAAACCCAATAGGCGATGGTTGTAATTTGCCTAACGGACAGGTTGGACAAGCGTTGGAAGTTGGAATCCTTATCGAGCATGCGTAATAGCTCCCCCCCCCCAAAAAGCTGCTCTATTTGAAATGCAAATTAAATGTGCTCTAGTGATATGGAAATCAACCAATGCCATGGATAATTGGATATGCCGGCGTCTAGTCGAAACCCACCACTACAATGGATAATGTCGTGTCCGTATAGAACAAACTATCGATGACAGAACCAACTTTTCAAATCTACTTCATTGCTGCGCTTTTGAAAATATTCAATATTGCATTGCTAGGTGCAACATACTGTCCTTTAAAAGACCATTATTTTTGCTAGTCATTTGACCTATACGGTACATCTGTATCGAACATTGTACTGTCTATTCGTTCGTCTAACTCTACAGTACATTCCTTACAGAGTTACAGTACAGTACTGTCCATTCGTCCCCTAGCCATGTACTGTACAGTACTGTACTGTACTGTACACTACTGTACTGTAGCCCTGTATTGTTCTCGTAGAGTACTTCCTATTACGTCATTTTTGCGGATCTTCTCGAATAGCTACCGAAAGGGACTAAAAGATCTTGTATATATACATTCATCATAAGCCTGTTCAGGGTAGATGTAGAGAAAAATCTGTGCATAAGTTGATTGCTATAGGTATGGCATCAATGATTGCGAATGCTTGTACTAGACTGCGAATGAGGATTATTGTGCTGATCATTTTAATTGTAGCCCGGCCTTGTTCGAGTAACTTGCTTCTGTTTGTAAAATCATATCCAATGGCCGCCCATACGTTCTCTAGCACTGTCTTTTGCAATCTTTACAGTACTGTGTTGTACTTACTGTAGTAGGTGACATCAATTTGGCTAATACGACACATACAATAGTCAATAGTGACTCAATCCCGCCAATTCTTACTGCAGTTTTCACGGTTGATCAAAATGCAGAATGGCGAAAAGAAAAAATTTAAAACTGGCTAGGCCTACTTACGGATTACTCGATGTTTTGAAAGCATCGATGCAGTATACTATATACTATATGTATAGTATACGATATTGTAGTAACTACTATGACCAGTAGCAAGCTTTGAAATTATGCACTACAACGCTAAGTGTTTCTCTCAATACAGTATATTGTAGTGCAAATAGGTAATATCGCAAGCATAAATAGTGTCACAAGTATATATATATATTGCACATATCTAAAAAAATCTCACACCAGAGCAAGGCAACGACATGGAAAAAGATGGTAATCACAGAATCTCACTGGAATATGACTCATCAATACCGTAGTATTTATCATTTACAATCTCTTGTCACCAGGAGTCTTATTGAATCCTAGCAAATCACAAACAATACGGCATAGCGCAATGCCGTGCAATGGTTGCAATTGGCTTTATTACTTCATTATACTTGTTTTCCCTAGATGAACAGTGTTTCAAGTTATCAATTACTAGTCACGCACAGTAGATCTGAGCTATCGATTCCTATCAAGCGTAAAAGATACGCCATATTACTCTATCATGCGTTTTAGTGCAGCTATACTGTACTGTAGTCTAGCAACAAGCAGCTAGCGAGTACCGCCTGGTTGTCATGGCAATGGATGAACTACTGTATGTCACAATGTCCATCAGGCCCTGCCAGTATAAACGGATCAATAAGGTAACGATGAATATAATGATTCTTAATTAATTATAATAATAATAAAAGCATTTGATCAAGTAATGTCTTCCGTATGACTTTATGTTATTTCTATAGACATGATAGATAGCCTTCGGGGAATTTCGCGATGAAATACACTCTTCCACTACTGTAACGGTTCTATAGTTTCCTATTTTCATATGCGCTTACCTACAAAGATGTCATAAACATCAATAATTACCTTTCCCGTTCGGAACGATTTAAAACCTCAATACAATTATTCTCTCTATCTTGTATAAATGCTTCTTTGCAATCAGTGCATAAAATGATGATATGAAAACGATATATTTGTTATTGTACTTCATTTTCATCTTGTTTACAACTGATCCAACCAAATGTGCTGGTCGTATTTGGCGTTGGCATCAGGATCGCCTTAACCTTTATAAAATAGGTCATCATGGACCTACCTATTCACATCTCGTCGTTCAATCTCGACAGAATCAATCCTCCGGCTACGCTACATCTGAATCCTATTCTGCAACAACCAATCTTGCTACTTCGCAGGTTAAAGTTCATAATTTTGTCGACGATTTTCATTCTTCCTTTTTTGCTCAGAATTTAAGTATTTATGGCCGATTGATAGTTGTTAACAATCCGTTAAGAACTATTTCTGTACTTGAACCCCACAGCCCCGGCGGTTGTAATATGTCTATTATGTCGACAGTAGCAGACACTGCTCAAAGAGCTCATTGCCATGTAGCCATGAATGCTGGATTTTATAATGCGGAAAGTGGAACATGCTACGGTAATATTATTTCCAATGGCAGACGGGTTAAAATAGCCAATGTTCAAAACGTGAATTTTGGTATCCGCAAGAATGGATCGATTATTGTTGGTTATTTAACGGAAGAAGAAATTCTTGATGATGAAAATCCATTTGTTCAGTTAGTCTCAGGTAAGCGTAAAACATGAAAACCAGGCTTTTACCTTAGATAAATAGATATGATGCCGTCATGGACTTGTTTACGTAATAAACCAGTGATTTTAATAAATATTTAGAAATCATAGTAAACATTATATAGCGTTAGCTCATATTGATTATAATGATCACTGCTGCTTGGCAGTCTACAAATAAAATATTGTCGTCGACAGTAAGCAATTAACTTAGTAACTAAGCTTCTACTTTCTAATATAATTGCCATGCCATGAACTTGTTTACAGAATAAATAAGTGATTTGATGAATATTTACAAATGATCGTCAGCATTCTATAGTAAATTTTCGTGTTGAGTATACTGTAGATTAGCTAGCACGCTCCCTAACAGTCTATGGAGTAAAATAGCATAGTCCAATGCGTAGTTTACTTGGCTCAGATGGAATCGGTTGTATACTGTACCTTACGAGGTATAAAATGTGAAGTCGAGGGCGTTACATATTACTATCGTGCATCAACTACGAGCATCGTGTCGTATGGTCGTACTTTACGAAGCCGGTAATCGATTTCATAGTGACCTACTATTGTTAGTCTTAATTAATATTAAGTTAATAGTTTAGTATTATAAATATATATGTCCCATTTGAAACTCTTATTCCACATTAAGAGTAAAATTGTTGCTTATTCATGCACGACTCAGCATGTACCAGTGGTATACTTAGATATAAATGATGTAATATTTACGGTAATAAACATACGAGTATATGTTTTTAGGTGTAATATGGCTAGTCAGAAATGGAAAATTGTACATTAAAGAGAGCATAGAAATGGAAAGTAGTCAGCGGGACGATCTTGGAATACTCAAACAGTTTGTTGAAGCCAGATCAGCTAGGAATGCCATTGGCCATGACAGAGATGGAAATGTTATGTTGATGCAAATAGAAGGCCAAACAAATCTTAATGGGTAAACTTAATGTTCAAATATTATCATAGTGCATGACAGTATAGCATAATTTTTAATACAATAGTCAAAATACATTGCAATACATTTTAAATTATTGTTATAAAATATTGAAAAGTAAAAATCACGCTTATATACTATTTCAGTTACTCCTTAAACTAATTATTTCTTTCATTCTATCTCCTCTGCATCCGTCATTAAGAGTTGATATTTATATAGACATGTAACGACCTTTTGTTAGATTTACAATTTTAAAATAACACTACTCAATTATTTCTCGAACGGAAATGAGATCTAGACTGTGTGCATTTATAGCAATGAATGTATATACGAGAAACTGTAAATTTAGTTTTTAATAAGACATCTAATTATATGATGTATTCTACGTACCCCAGATTAAATCTATACGACTTTGCAATGAAATTAATTGAATCAGGATTTGTCAATGCTATTAATTTGGATGGCGGAGGATCATCAACAACTGTCATTGATGGTGTTACGGTTGGCTATCCATCAAATCACTGGTAAGTATTATAACCTTCGTAGTAATACTACATCAGTAATATCTTGTAATTTCTTAAATAATAACTTCCATAGCATCTAATTTAACTTATTCCTATTCTCAAGCTTACTTTTTATGAATCTGAGATTATGCTGTTTACTGAAAGACTGCAATAATGCGATATCATGTTACTGAAAAAACAATTGAAATTTGCTTCTAGCTGATATACCTATCTTTTATTTCAGTAGCAAATCTAATACGGCCTTTGGATGTTCTCAAGCAGTGTCTACAGTTATATGCATTCAGGACTTACATTGTTTGCCTCAAGATTGCAATAACCATGGCAAATGTATAAATGGAAAATGTCTGTGTAACGATCACTGGACCGGCGAAACTTGTGATACTACTATCTGTGAATACTTACGTAATTGTTCAGGAAATGGCCAATGCACACAAGGTTTCTTCTAAGGAAAGATTTCTAAACAATGAACGACTATATTTAGTCTTGCGATATTACGTTAGTCGTTAAATTTTTTCGGACATATTTCCTTGCATTCTCAAAAATTCAAAAATTAATAAGACTACGAGAAATTAAATAGCAGAATTCATACCGTACAACAGGATTTGTTACCGATTCTATTAGCTGTATATTATCATTTGATGGAAATTAGTTAACAATATCTACGGTTAGAAATGAAATAACAGAAGTTATACAATAGTTATTGATACTCTCTATTGGAACTTTGGAAGTAACAATAAGTGGTTACCATTGATCGAAAAAAGTGTATAGAATTACTATGAGAAAAATAATTAAATTTACATAATACTATTTGACCACTACAACTATCACACTAATTGATTGAGCCTAAACTGGAGATCAGTCTACTAATTTACTGTTAATGCGAAAAAATCTATAATGAAGACTTGCTGTAGTTATGCTTCTAAAAATTTTTTATGATTTTGATTCGTCATATTTAGATGGTTGTAACTGTAATCCGGGATGGGTTGGGTTGTTTTGTGAGCTAGGTATGTATCGTACACTGAATTATCACATCTTCTTTGAAATGTATATAGTATTTTGTATTATGATTGAAAAATCTCTTGGAAGAGACAATGCTTCTAATAGTATTTTATGTTAGTATATTAGAATGAAGATAGGTCACAAAATGACAATTTATATAGAAGAACTCTTGTTAGATAAGCTAACCCTGAATTTACTGATCATAAATTTTACCTATCATCTGCTTACGTCTTTACATAGATAACAGCATGTATTTTATATAATAGTATGAAGTAAAAAGGGACTGATATTCACCAAGTTTGATATAAATAGATCGTAGCTTGATCTAATAAAAATTAGAATTTCACAATTTAGCTTAGAGAGGAAGTTGAGCTACGGTAACTTTCTGACAATATACAATCAGTCCATTGAATATTATATGACATACTGTAGATAACAGCATATTTTTATACCATGTTATCTTATAAAGATGAATTAATCTTTACCTTGCTATACATTAAAATTGTGGCTAAATTTAAAGTTAGATTTCCACGGTTTTGCCTAGAGAGAGACTTGGAATTAATTTAACCTCCTGATAATAGGAGATAGTCCATCTTTTGAGAACGACAGTATTACATACAAATACCGGATAGAACAAAATTTTACAGTTGACTCTATATTCTGCCATTACTCTAGCTTTTTGATCTATAAATGAGTGATAGAATAGACAGTAGCAAATTGAGAATGATTCTAATATGTTGTTTAGCTCATCCTCGCACGGATTTTGGTCAGAGATGCAATCGGGTATGTAATTGTGAAAATGGAGCAAAATTGGATCTGGTAACCGGAGATTGCCCCTGCTTACAAGATTGGACGGAAAGTTTTTGTGATAGAGGTAAACTTTTAGCTAGTATTTAGCACAAGCTCTACAATATCTAGAATTGCATTTCGTATCATTAGAAATAGTGCTTATGCGCTTCTGTTCTGTGATACACTCCATTTTGCATTTAGAATGTCCGCTGGGCTTCTATGGTAAACTTTGCATCGACAAGTGCAATTGTGATTCCCCTTGCATGTGTAATCTTGTAACTGGGAAATGTGAAAAAGAAAGTGAACGGTGTAATCGCCTAAATAAATCCCGTGGCTATGTTGAGTTTGAATCTACACCGACTGCAACGAATCTCGCCAGCCCACAAATTAAAGTCCATGAGTTTATGGACGATTTTTATTCTTCCTTTTTTTCTGAAAGTTTAGTGGTTTACGGTCGACTCATCGTAATCGAGGATCCGTTAAGAACTGTTTCCGTCCTTGAGCCAAATGGGCCTGGCGGCTGCAATATATCTACTATGGCGACGGTAGTAGATACCTCTCGAAGAGCTGGGTGCTATTTAGCAATGAATGCTGGTTATTTTAATGCAGAAACCAGAGGATGCCTCGGTAATATTATCTCCAACGGTAGACTGGTTCGAATAACGAGTGTTAAGAACGTCAATTTTGGTATTCGTAAAAATGGATCAATTATTGTTGGTTATTTAACCGAGGATGATATTCTCGATAGCAGAAATCCATTTATTCAGTTAATTTCAGGTAAGGATTACCCTAAGTGTTGAAATCAGATATTCTGCTAGATGTAATAGGAATTTAAGCCCCTGAATTCATCGATATATTAAAGCAGTGATTTTTATACATATTTACAACTGTCTTGAAAGTTACGTGAGGATTCGTTGTTTTGAGTATAGTATTAACTACTACGATGTCTGACAATCTAGAATATCAGGGTATAATAGTCTAAGTAAAAGTAAAAATTCTCTCAATTTTATTAATTATTGAGGAATTTATCTAGATAATAAATTTTAGTAATTTTATAATTTTCCGGAAACGGCCAAAAATATTTTTGAGCATCATTTGCGCTGAGAATCGCCTTAAGTGCTGTCGAAGAATCTGTGGAATCAAAGTAGTACGGTGGAGGCATTAAGCTTAGCTTAATTATTATGGCAAGAAATTGGTATAGAAAATATATTTGGGTAGCATATATATTAAATCAGTGATATTTTAAAAACCTGCTACATTATTTACCCGAAATATAGCGTTACCAGCTGCTTGACAAATTTATAACAGCAAAATATTACAGTAAAAGTAATAAGCTCAGCTCCTGTTGCCTTTAAATTCGCTCAAGAACGTTACAAAGCAATGTTAACCATAATATTTACTACTATCTAACAATCTATAGCTCCAAAATATTGTAACCAAACAACTAAACTTGGCTCAGATCCTTAGCTGTACACTATATTATATTACACAAAGTTATTGATAATAAAACTAGTGAAATAGCTAATTTACCATCCTATCGTTACTATCCTTTGCAATTACCTTACACTTTAGGTCCTGCATGATCTACTAACATTAAGCTGATAAAGTAATGCTTCCAGTATACTTTTTAAAACCTGGAAAATAGTTAATACCTCGTATCATCTAAAGATGCGCCTGTTTAATGCAATTGATACGGTTCATATCGACTGCTAATGCAGTAATATCTGCTATTATTCATGAAGCAGTACCGTACAGTCTACGGAATATTAATTTAAGATAGATAATTATAATTTATTCATGCAGGTGTTATATGGTTAGTAAGAAATGGAAAATCATATGTCAAAGAAAGCATGGAAATGGAAAGCATAAAACGAAAGGATATTAGATTATTAAAGTGGTTCGTTGAAACTAAATCAGCCAGAAATGCCATTGGCCATGACAGAGATGGAAATGTTATGCTGGTACAAACAGAAGGCCAGACAAACTTTGAGGGGTAAGTTAAAGGTTCCAAATACCCCGGTATTAGGAAGTACACAACTGATAGTATGTATTAGTCCGATTTTGGAATATACTGCAATGCCAGTATATCTTGAAATATTCTAGAGTATTTAAAAGTAAATAATGCTGTAAACAATCCTAATTTGATCAGTGCTTTAACACCTGCATCTTACAATTCTATCAATATTCTACAACTTAGGATAGCAGCTTTGCATATAATGAAAATGTTGTAATTCTGTCGTAGTTTTATTTAATACGGTACGAACTTAAATTTACGCCACCCAATAATTTTTCTTGAACTCCAACAAGATCTGGACTGTTTGCAGAGATATCAATAAACATATATGCAATACTAATAAGAATATTCAATTTCATAAGAATAATAATATTCGATTTAATAAGAGAATCTATTAATTGATTATTGACTCTATAAATCTCAGATTAAACTTATATGACTTTGCCGAGAAACTAATCGAATCTGGATTTGTCAATGCTATCAATTTGGACGGGGGAGGATCATTAACAACAGTTGTCAAAGGTGTTACCATTGGCTTCCCATCTGATCCATGGTAAGATTTATATAACATTTGCTGTAATGTTAGAACCCTAACAATTTGAGATTTCCGAAAGTCGCATGAGTCTTGGACATGTTATAATTATCTTCTATCGTCCATATTTGACGATGATAAATATTATATCAATATACTGTCATTCTTAGTATTTAAAGTCTTGCTATAAGGTTATCCTATATTATTATAGAATGCTGATAAATGTTAAGATATTCTTGGAGCTAATGTAGTAATATTTCTAATTGTAAACGATATCAACAGTGAATCAAATATAGCCTATCGATGTGCTCGACCAGTATCTACAGTTATATGTGCTCATCGCTTGCATTGCATACCTCAAGATTGCAATAACCACGGTAGATGTTTACATGGAAAATGTCTTTGCAACCATAACTGGACTGGTGAAGCTTGTGAAATTACTATTTGTGGATACTTACACAACTGTTCAGGAAATGGTCTATGTACCCCAGGTTCATTTTTGAAGAAATACTTACCTACATAATTTTGTCATGAGTAGAAATGGTCAAATTTAATTCTTCAATAAAGTTTCTCGGGTGCAATAAAGACATATTGCTACGAAAATTTGCAAATTTTAAATTTTCTCCTTAACATTTAGATGGTTGTAGTTGTAACCCGGGATGGATTGGATTATATTGTCAGAAAGGTATTTATCGTGTAACTAATTCTTGTATTTTGCTCTATAAAAGGGATATAGTATACCCTAATGACAATTAAATCTCCAATGAAACATGTACTTTCAACTATTAATATATATTTTGTATCGGTATTCCATTTAGAATGCGTTTGCTGATAGAATTTAATAAATTAAGAATCATGTTAATATTGTCTAGCTTGTCCTGCAACAACTTTTGGCCAGAGATGCAATCAGACGTGTATATGTCAAAATGGAGCTCAATGTGATCCTATAACTGGCAACTGTTCCTGCTTACAGGGTTGGACAGGCAGATATTGTGATAGAGGTAAAGTTCTTATTGATTCATTAGTACAAATGATACAAAATCATGATTGCATTCCTTGTAATTAAAAGCACCGTCATTGCCACACAAAAAAGCTAATGATGCTGAAATCCGTCTTATTCTGTTACCCCATTTCTCTTCTGCATTTAGAGTGTCCATTTGGCTTATATGGTAAGCTTTGTGTCCACAAGTGTACCTGTGATTTACTTTGTATGTGTAATCCAATAACTGGAGAATGTGAAAGCCAAAGTCGCCGTTGTCACTATCATAAAATTCAATGTCAGATGAAATCAAAGATTCTAAAATACAGGTATTAAGAATAAAGAAGTATTAGCATTATTATCATATTGGGATAGAGCTTGGCCATTATGTCTAATTTAGTTGGAAATTTCCATTTAATCGATAATTTTATACTGCATCAATCATTTCTACATTTACCTGACTTTGAAATACTTATTATAAATATATTCGTATTCTGAATAGATTAAGAAAACTAGATTTCTTTGGATATCTTGCTGCTTTTATTGTGAGTATCTTTTCATCGCTGTATATATTCCTACTCGTTCAATGACAATTGGGAGGAAAGAGTTTACTACGCGTTAGGAATAAGCAAACCAAAAAACGATGATGATGATAAATCAATTATAACTGCTTAAGGATCACATTCCGATGGCGTAGATGATGACGGAAAGGCTTTTAGAAAGCAGTCGTAAAACTAAACAAGCTAGCAACGAAGGTGTGAATACTCGTAAATCAATTATAGCTGCTTCAGGATCGCATTCTGATGGAGTGATGATGGAAAGGCTTTTAGAAAGCAGTCGTAGGATTGAACAAACTAGCAACGAAGATTAGGATAAATCAATTATAATTGCTTAAGAACTGCATTCAGATAACATAGATGGTGACGGAATGACTTTTAGAAAGTTTTCCGTTTCATATGAAATCAAACATAGTTTACGTTGGTAGCCTTGCTGGTCATTTAGTGAATTAATGACTTCTATATTTGTTTATGAAATGTTCTACATAATTTTTATATTGAAATTTTGATAATATTACAGTATCGGGCAATCGAATCTAATGCTATTAATTGATAGAATGATATGCTATTTTGATTGATTAGTTATGACAGAGCTGCACTTTTTATGTAACAAAAGTAAATAATCTTAGCCTTGAAGTTCATATAAATTTTCATTCTATTCTATAGAAAGGAAACTTTTTATTAATCGTCAGTAGGACATACTATCATATTGCAATCTACTAATTATAACAGAAATAGAATAATTTTATGAAGAAGTTGTCAATTTTTATTCCAACATTTATCAATTCCTACTTGCATTCAGTTTGCAATGAATGTTGCTTGCTGGTAGTATATACACTGCTGCGATTTACTAATGAAGGAAGCAGATCGTTTCATGGAAAAACAATCAGAATCTTTGCTCTAATATTTATGTAAATTTCCAATTGGATTTGATTTAATTGATCAAGAAAAGCGAAGAATCTTTGTTCTAAATTTTATAATATTTAAAATTGTATCTATTGAAATTCATATAATTTATTGTCGACATAAGTGCTGAAGAATGCTATTTATGATGGAACTTATTTACGATGTCAATATAAAATAATTACTCGAATACTCTCGAAGATTTTAACAGTTTGGTCTCTCTATTCGATTACAATTACTACTGCCTATCGTCAGCGCGATCCCCTCAATGCAATTAGTAATTATGATAGAAAGAGATTATTTTATTGGGCGATTGAATAAACAAAGTCATATTTCTAATATCAGTAAAAAAATCTAGACCAATTTGGCCTTTCACGGAATAATTGCAAAACGAATAGGCGGAAAATCTGTCATTATTTAGCCGTAATATTTCGAAATTAATATTGTACAGTGAGAGCTTTTAAGTAGTAAAGAGGATAACTAAATGTAGTAATTGCAATTAGATACCTGGGGATGCTATTAAATACGCATAATTAGTACAAATTTTATGTGGGATACAATCTCAAGGTCAGTTTGGAATATCACAAACATTATAAGCTTAATTAGAGTTTCAGTTGGCATTAATAAATATTGAACTTATAGATGTAAAACTATCAATTTCCTATTTGGATAACTTAAAATTAATATTATAGACCTGCTACCAGATCAGTTCTGGTATAAAGGAAATTAGGATAGTTATCTTATAACCTTAATTAGAATTTTCTATCGGCATTAATGAATATTGATTGAACTGATATAAAACTGACAATTTTTTGTCTGAATAACTCAAATTAACATTATGGACTTGTTGTTAGCATTTTTCAGTATAAGAGAAATTAGGATAGCCATATCATACGCTTAATTAGAGTTTGCCGTTGATATTAACGAATTCTGGACTTCAGGATATCAAACTATCAATTTTCTATTTGGATAGCCCCAAATAAATGTTATGGACTTGCTGTTAGCTTTTTCAAGTATAAAGGAAACTAGAATAGCTATCTCATAAGCTTTGAGCCAGAAAATGAGTGAATACTAAGTTAGTTAAGATAGAACTCAATAATATAAATTGGTCCAATAGGTTTAATTGATTACGCTAAAATAGACATTTAGAAGTTTAAAAGACGATATAGCAGTTGAAATCGTGTATTAACTTTTCTATAACTATAGGAGACAGCGCTTTTATAGACATAGTAAGATATGTTAGTCTACATTTAAAGTAGATCTACATTTTTGAGTTGTAGGCATCCTTCTAGAATAATTTATTGTCATCCTATTCAGCTAGCGCTGAGCCTATGCTTTGTTGTTGTGCAATCGATTTCTAATTGAGCTTACAATTTATGTTTCGAGCCTACATAAATTTTTTAACTATAAGCTAAGCTTAGATCTTTAAAAGTGTCTAAGGCTAAATAACAATCTATATTAATCGTTGAGCACATGCTTTGAGTTCAAACTACCAAGAATTTTTCTATTTAGCTGGCAATTCAGCTTCGATTTTTTGTTTTGAATCTAAACAATATTCCATGTATTATTCTTCGTAAAGATTATGTAAGGGCTTAAGCCTACATGAACATTTCCAAATTGCTATCATTAAAATCTTAATTTTACGTCTTGAGTCAACATAATATTTTATGTCTTGCTGGAAAAACGCCTCTTATTACTGACTTAAAGAGGCGAGATTCGCTATATCACCAAATAATTCAGTTCCAACGACCGAATACTAAAGTATAATTAAAACGTCTCTGATAGTGTTAACGAGGTAGTCAGAGATTTATTACTATTTATTACTGAAGAAATCTTGACAACAAAGATATATAGCCTTGACAATTCAATAGCAATTGACAAACTAGTTGACTAACTAGCCGACTAACTAACTAAGACGTGGTCTTCATCTTGTTGACTAAAATTCCACCTTGTATCTTTAGTTTTATCGTTACTTGAGCTTACACTTGTCTTTTAAGCCTGCATACAGTCATGTATTTTAATTGAGCGTACATTTGAATTCCTTTGCCCTATAGCATTTTATATTTAATTACTGAAGAAGCCAGTAGTTTTCGTCGTCTTAAATCTCTATTCAAATTTATGTTTTAGCTAGCAGAGGCTGAGAGAACACTTGATGTCTGAAGCCGGTATAATATGATATATTTTTATACCGCTAGCGTTTCGCCTTGTAATAATCAATTTTTTTATTCAGATCGTCGTCGGATTTACACTTTGTCTATTTTGGCTAGCCGATCTCGCATACCTAGCTGTATTTCGTGTTTCTTTGATAACCTCATGGTCATATTCTTGTTATAGATCAAACTTCTTCAGTCAGAGGTTAGCTGATCTTTGGCTATCGTGAGTGAATAAGCCAGATGACTAATACCGGTAATAAATTATATTTACGTCATACGACCTTTAACACGCTATTTACAGAATATGAATAAATAAATAAACTATTTTCCTGGCGTTTTATTTTATATTTAAAGTTATGACGTGATTCACATCAAACTGTCAAAACTATTTTGTTTTTAGAATAGGTAGCACCTACTTTTGCTAATAGTTAGATTAGCTTTTGACTAGTCGAAGTTTCAAATAATGAACCAGTTATCCTTCTAAATGCTTAGTAACTCTCTCCTAGTTGCGATCTAAAAATAATATTTATCGTTTGTTGCTATCTTTCGTTTAATTTTTACCCTTAAGTCAATTGCCTTGTCACTGTTTAGAGCATTTTTGAATTTAATTTACATTTTATTACGCGTAAATCTGAATAAATGTGAATCATTGCTACACTAAGTATTAATATTGAATTTTCTGGATATAAGAGTTTTTACATCAAAGCTACTGTACGCGTATCGATAAAATCCTCTTCAATCGAAGCTAATATTATTTATGCAATAAAAAAATTGATGCTCTTTTGCAGAAGTAACGGCATTTTACAGTTACAAGTTTGATGAAAATGAGTAGCTTCAATAGCAAAATTAGTTTAATTCTGCCCTAAATTACTAATTTTTAGTTAGGATAATACAATTCTGTAGCAGAACTGTTCTTTATGGGCAAGATCAATTTTAATTTATGATAATAATTAAAACTGTTGGTATACAATTTTCTAATTTAAAATCGACGTAGCTGTTGGGATTGTTTAAAGCTTAATTAAATTCATAAGCTGTTAATTACGTAGAAAACCTGGCCAATAGTAGTTATAGAATATTCATTAATTCCTTGCCAATGAAAATTACTGCTAACCAATATAGTAGAGCAAAGGCGTTGTCGCCGTGCGTAAGCATAATATTATTATGTATAGCTATAATCTAAGTCTGTATAATTTACGCTAATGAGTCAATCGAACTATTCTAAAATTCCAGTATTCTATTTTAAAAAGCTGTTATGTGTTCAAGAAAGTTGTAACGATAATCCTAGACTGTGGTATTTGAAAGGCACTAGATCTTCAACAATGGCAGAATTAATAAGCTTACTAGGCGGGTATATCTGTGTTTATCTACCTTTAATTAATGATCAAGAGGAGGACACAATGCTACCACTGTTATAATTTTATCCTATTTGATATAAGTAGTACTGGTAACTATGCTTAATTAGGCTTAATCGCAATAATCGTGGAAATTCCTAACGTTGGATAAACTCAGCTGGATTCCACATAATATTTCACATTTTTAAGTTCCTGAAGTAGCATGCTGATGGGATTTCGTGTTATTGCGGTAGAAAATCAAGACGGAATTCCTCGCGATGTACTGAGCAAAGTGCACTAATTTATTTTTGTTTTTCTCATAATCTATTATGTACAACCTAATTGGATAAGTTACTATTGCACAGCAATCTAGTAACAGTAGGGAATAATTTAATGTTAATCATCGTCATTGATTTAAGGCAGAACCATATTGATTATCGTGAACATTAAAAGTTACATCACTAGGCAAAAAACAGACAAAGATATTTCGAATTTTCCTACTTAGCTAGACATCGGTTGTATAGTCAACGAAAATTTAGGTAAGATAGATGGTATCATATTGGAGAGCTAATGAATAATTTTAACTAATAATAAAATTATTCGTTATACCTTGAAAACTTCAGCTTAGTAATCAATTTTTCTAATTTTCTAACTTGATCTTTTGCTAAGTTGCCAACTAAAAAGAGAACTCACAAAATGAAGACATTTTTAATTTTGAATCTAATATTGACATTAGCGTTTGTCGCCAACGGCATCCGGTTCAATGGTAATAATTTTAATTCAATTTTTTATCTTAGGCCAATTGTTACACCAAAGTACTGCTATTACTGGTCAAATAATTGCATCAATAAGATATTTGCTTCATTTTATAGTTTTTAATTCAAAATTTTGATATGAACTACTGTACTATTAGGCAGATAGAATCAAAATTTAATTATAAACAATAAGGATGAAACAGTCCATTAACAGCTTATGAGATCGTAGAACATTCTATATTCAAAATTGGTCCAGGCAGTATTTCGTAAATTGACAGCAAAATTTTATTACTGGATGAATTAGGATAGCTTTGTTAAGGAATGGTCAAATACACTCCACGTTGCAAATTGCAATACGCTAATATGTTGCCTAAAACTAGGAAAAGTAATCCAACTATCTATCTATTTTTATAATTTCGATATTAATCCTGCTTTTTAATGGATTTGTAACAGTAGCTATGAGAAATTTACAAAACAGGTCAGCTTACAGATTCGGAACGTGGAAATAATCTTTCGCTAAACTGCTAAGATCACACTTAGAGAAATAATAAAACAAATGCATAGTCATTTTAGTAATTTACGAGGCCTTACAGGACTATACTATCGAATTAACAGATTATTCAAGGCTTTAATTTACTAAATTGCTAGTAAATTTAATGTTAGTTCAAGAACTGAATAAATACATTCGATGCCATAAATATTAATGTGTTAACATAACAAAGTTTATTAACTATTGTAATTTTAGATATTAATCGAGCTTAAATATCTAGATCAGTAGGTATAACTATGAGAAATGGGATAAATATTATAACTAACAGATTTAGAATATGGATCTTATATTAACTTGGTCGAATCGTATTTAGTAGTAGCACTATAACAATTAAACAGAATCCTTAACATGATGGGAGGTATTACACAACTATATAGATTTAATTCGAGCAAAAATTCAGGAAAGGAAAAATTAATTAAATTAAATTTTTCTCTCTTCAATTACTGGCAAAACTTCATTGCTGGATGAAAAAAGCAGAATAGCTTTGGTAGTCCCCGAATATCAACATACATCACTGCTTAATATTACTGTAGAAAAAAAAATTGAATTATTTATCAATTTTTTCTGAATAAATCCAGCTTAATACGTCAATAGACGAAATATGTAATTCAAATTTACTCAATATAAAGGTTTACTAACATGAAATGTGGGATGATCTTGTTCTAAACTAAAAGAATTGATATTGTAATCTAGAGCGATAAAAAAATCTTTATTACTCTTAGGAGATGTTCTAAGTCTTTTAAAGAAATTAGTTGTGACAGTCATTTACTAACAACTTCCATATTACATTAAGCAAATGCGTAGTAGCTTTATTACGTAATTACATAAACAAATAATTATAATCTTATACGCAATTATTGCTGAGAAATCTTATATCTTGGATATTAGTTTAGCTTAATCATTAAGACTAAAATCTTTTAAACTTTCAAGTAACTAGTAGCAATATATTAAATAGGTGATACGCCTTGGTTAATGTTTGTTTGTATATTGACTACAGCGAGAAATTCATATTGCTAATTTCAGATTTGTTAACTATTTGATGCAACAGTATATACTGTTTAATCTCTCATTAATGCAATATGTAGAAGATGCTCTTTAAAGTATATCGGAAAATGCCGCATGCATGTTTTCGTTAAACTAAATCATATAAATTATTGCTATTTATTATTTAATACCAAGAAATACTCTAAAAAACTCTTCAACACCTCTTATTATTATAGTTTCGAAGCAAGTCTATAAATGGGGCTATGGAGATTACATCGGTTAGTATTATATCTTTGTTATTAGATTTAATTACCTCCGAATATTTTGTTAAGGGTTAATCATTGCAATATTCTTCCAAGCCTAGTAAATTATTCCTAATATATATAAATAATGCAGAGCTCATAAATGTAATGATCATAAAACTTCTATTTCTATAATAAATACCATGGACGGACCCTTACTACTAAATCATTATCTTACATTCTTATTTCATACTTAATCACAATTGATCATTTTTCGTCATAATGTGATATAATATTGCCCTTCCAAGATAAAAATACTTTAAGAAGTCATAATATACTTATAAATAAGAAATCAGTTTATATAAATGTATGTAAAGGACATAGGATAAATTAATCTGGAAAAAATTATATGAAGGATGGCTTCCTCATACGTTTGATGTTTTCCAATATATGCATATACTGCAGCTTTACGAAATATTGATAGCGAAGCAGTAATAAGAAAGGGCTATAGATCTATTTTAAGTATAATTGTAGACGGTTGTTTAATTCCTTAACTTAGGAGATATTTGAGCTATGTGTTTTGCTAAATAATATAGTTTAGTTACGATAGACCTATAAAATAAATAAACTAGTTCATTAAGACTACATAAGTAGTATTAAAGTATACCAGCTGCAATAAGATAAATTAATTCATCAAGGCTCTTTAGCATTTAGAGCAGTCAATGAATAAAATATCTTAGTTTTATTTTTTGGAGATACAATAGCAGATTAGTAATAAATAAGGTATAACTTATAAATGGATTAATAAACAATCTCAATCAAAGGTGGATCTATAATTGTAAAATCGAGCGATATTGCTATCAATATACATTTTGCTACTTAAAACTTTATTTTCTATCCATTTTCAAGTATAAAATGGCTAGCATAGAATTATCACAATAATAGATTCGATATCATATTATAGGTCCAAATAAATGGGGTTTGTACTATCCATATTGCAATGGCCTTCGTCAGTCACCTATCAACATCATTTACAAGACAGTTCAACATAATCAGAGATTACAGCCCTTGAAACTATCCAATTTTGATAGAATAATTCATGGAAATTGTACCATACGCAATAATGGCAAAAGTATTGATATTTTTATCCCTCAAACAGGCAATGTTCCGACATTGCAAGATTATCGAGGTGAAATTTATCAGAGCGCTGGTTTTCATTTTCATTGGGGTTCTACTAATAGCCAAGGATCGGAAACGTGGCTAAATAATAGGCAATATCCTCTCGAGGTTAAACTATTGCTTGCATGAACTAAATTACTATTACATTTATAATCAGCAAGGATTAAATTTTTCGATCTTATTGAATTAGTAGGTTGTTCATCTTCATTGAATTGATTGCTAATATAAATACATTTCAATATTACTAATACAGGCCCACGTAGTGTTTTGGAATACCAGATTTGGAGATTTGCAGACTGCATTGTATGAAAGTGATGGTTTAGCAGTCATTGGAACTTTGATTAATGCAAGTGTAACTATTAAATAACATTAAGAATTAAGATAATTCATGGAAGAAATATTGTTGTTGATTAAAATATTGTAATATAGCATTAAAATCGACAATAACTGAGAGGCATTAAGAATTAGCTAAAGGAAAGTGTATAAAAATGCTTTGAATTTAATTAAATGATGATTTATCAAAAGCATAGGGTACCTCACAGTATGACCTCTAAATTCAGCTAATCATTTTATATTGCAGAAAGCTTATTAGTATAAAAAGGGGTAGAAATCCAATCATATACTCCAATTCCTAAGATCTAAGCTCATTTACTGCAGATCTGCTACTTTATGTAAGAGCATTATAAGTCCAAAGAAATCTGGTCGATTTATAGCAATGGCCAAATATGATTATAATCTCTTGTTGAGTTCCTCATTAATAGTATTAGATATCAGTTAGCGGATGTTACAATTCTCACGTTAGTAAATGATCAATTTAGTGAAATCTTTTGAAACCCTAGGGATGTAAAAACAATAGAAATCCAATATAAACGACATCTTTTATTTTTTAAAGATTTAAATTCATCGACTAAAAGTTCTCTTATCTATATCATTGATGTAAATAGTAAGAAAATTTTATTAAAATCATAAGAAATGAAAGTAAAATTTTATAATCCTGTATCGTATGCCTTAGTAAATGAATGGTTTTCAGTTCATAGAACTAAAATAGCTCACAAATCATCTACATAACCGGCTCGTATTTAAGTTCTACCATAATAAAAATGAAATGTATAATTCAATACTATAATTTTCAAAAGTTTGAAAACCCTTGCGCTAAAAGTATATTACTAATTTTGTTGCCTTAATATCTTAAAACAGCCAAACGAAACGCAAATAACAATTAGTTTATATCCATTAGATTGGAAAACATAATCCCAGCTTTGATCTAGTGATAGAAAGTATCCAAAAAGTCAAATACAACGGTAAGGAATATGGATACTACTAAGTGAATTTTTGAATAATTGTCTTGATAAATACTGTCTGATATTAGAGATTTCAACAGATAGTTTAAAAAATAACGGGGTCTGGCCTATTCAATGGCGTTAATACTCGTCTATAATACGATATATATGATTTACTATCATTTTATATTTCCTCGATATTCTAAACAAAATTTGTATATCTTAAAGGACAAAAACAAAATATTAAAAATTTCAGTTTACGATCCTTTGTTGCGGAATCTCTATCTGAATATTTCTTATTTAATGGTTCATTAACCACACCTCCATGCACTGAGAATGTCTTGTGGCATGTTATGGCTGGAAAAATTAGCATATCGCAAGATCAGGTAACTAATCAAAGGCGTTTAAAGTTTAATTTATTAAGGAAATAGCGTCTCCTTATAGCCAATGGCTGTTAGATTAGAAATCGAAAGTTAAAGTGAGGATGTGATTTTCAATCGTTACGGCAGTGTATGATTAAAATTGCCTTTAAATATAACCTAGTTTTATAATATAAAAATATACTAAGTTCAAACAATCTATAGTTAACTTATATTCATCAATATTCTTAATTATTTTCCTCCCTAATTCTAGCTAAATGCATTCCGAAACGTTTATACAACGAATAGCTCTGTTGGTGTCAACTCTGTGAAACTTTTAGAAAATTTTAGACCACTTCAAAAACTTAATAATCGTGCTGTCTATTCAAGCTTTGATATTAGTAAACTTACTGGTGCATCAGCAGGTCTTTATAGATCTTGGCTATTTATCTTCATATCGACAATATTGATGTTTCTAACCATTGACGTGATGTTATAGTGAATTAATGGGGAGGTTTCAAGTACAAATAATGGATCGATTTCTAGTATTACAATAAATATATTAAATTTTCTATAATTGACTTTCTTTTAAATCAGTAATACCTATTAGTTTAGAATAGATGATCATTGTTGTAATAGTCTATGGTACAAATGTAAACGATACTATTACATTCAGTTGGGTATTTTATTTGTCATCAGAATCATATACAAATATTGGTTTAAAAGGTCTTGCGTGTTTTCTTGTAACATTCTTGTTTTCTTATATGATTTGAGAATACAATAATACTAATAAACTAATATACTGATATTAAAATATGCTAATGTAAGATTATAATCATACAAATCTGATAAGAAATACTACATGCTAGAATAAGAGTTTGCACTACTCGATTTATTGCTCACAAGTTCATTTAGGATTATAAAATAATTTTAATTTAAAGGAAAGCCTAATTAAGCTGAAGTAGAAATTGAACTCGAATTTATTGAAGTTATTATTCATACTTACTCTAGTACTCTAGTAGTAGTCTCTTAATAAATAATCACCCAATAATAGCGGATAAGAACAGTTTATTGCTTAGTAACTATTATTGAATATTACTATAACAAACTTAGATAACGAAATCTATGCGGTACACAGCTATATCTCAGACCAAATCCCTTCGTAAAGCTATATCTACCGTCTCTAAATTATCCACTATTAGCACTTGACTATTTCAATAACTAGAAATGGTATCTTTGATACCACTAGTCTGCGATAGTCTAGTACTGCCATTTTAATATTTATCATCGGAGGTCTTACATTAAAACCTATTTTCCTAAAAGTATGTATGCAAAGAAATATAGGTAAAAAAACTTTCGATTATCTTACTATATATCATATTTGTCGCGTAAAGTGCTGTGATAATCATAAGTTTCATAACTAAATGAGCAGGCTAAACATTGTTAGTAAACATAGTCGATGCAAATACGGCCAATAATATAGTCCAAATGGTCCAGCGTGAATATAAGCCTAATGCAGCACCCACAGTTCCGGTAGTCAGTTGATTAAGTTTAAAACTTGTTAGAATAGTTCTGCCATTTAACTGCTGAGTTGGAAAATTTTTTCCAATAAGAACAGAATTTTGCCGAGATAACCGTACTATTGGTCGAATATAATTTTCGAAATTCCTCCTGCTAGATACATACATGAAAGAAAACTCAGATCAGCTGTTCGTGTTACACTATAACAATATTACATTTATTTAATCGATAAAGAAGCGATACAAATAATAAAGGGTATATTTAGAATGATCAAGAAAGTTGTTCTATATCAGGATAGCTAGTAAGGCAATCCATAACATATAGAAATTCTCGCCTGAGCCTGTGATAATTCCAACGTGTGGGCCATAACATGCCAGGCAACATTTTCAGTACATAGTGGTGTAGTTAGAGATCCATTAAATGCAAAGCTTGCAGCATTTTGATTAATGATGGAACGAATCTTTAGACCGCTAAACGGATATGATTGTGCTAATAGTTAGCAAGCAAGGATAAAGTAAACTTTAGATAGGTGAGGATAAGTTTAAATTTAGATGCAAGCAATGATAAAATAAAAATTACGGTCAGAAATTGGAAGTATCGATAATATTCTTCGGTAATGATACATTTAGCCGCACAGAAAACCTGCATACAATTGCATAAGAAGTAATAGAAATACCTCGATGTTTGATATACTTTAGATTATCAATAATTGGGTTCAGTGCGTAGCCATATTTTCCAACCTGAATGACGAAGCCAGTAAAGGGAATTAAAAGTAAATCAGCACAGTACTCATAGTTTGATATAATTCTACTTGATTAAATGCATCCTTATTATTGAATATGCATTTAATTTTTAGCATTACTGGAGTTAATTACGGCTATGGCTATGATGAGCTACCTTTTTTAGCTGAGAATATTAAAATGGCTGCATTAATTACCGTAACTTACTTGGTATAAATTAGAAAGTCCATCAGAGCTATTGGCAGCTTCAAGAAATTCATTGTAGCGGGTGTTTGCGAAGACTATATGCTCCTAAATTTTGAATATAAAAAAATGTATTCAGAAAATGTTTAAGTTATAACTTTCTTGACAAGATCAATTTTTCAAGTTGGTTATGGTATAGCTAGCATCAAATATTATTAATAACCGTTAAGCATGTCAATCTGAGAAATTCTAACCTCTAGAGGATATTGCAAGTTATTTAAAAATGTTTCTGATCCAACATTATTATCTGGCCCCTAATGGTAATGAAATTGTACCAATCGGTATCTACGTTTAGTTAACGGGGAATAGATGGTAGGAGTTGTATTGCTTCTGATATTTACATGTGCGGTGTGTCCGTTATTCAATAACAGCAAAGTTTGATTAGTCGTTTCTTCGAAACCAAGCAAATCCAGAGCAAGTCCTTGGATGTATTGAATGTCAGAGTAGGCAATGTTGATAGGCAATTGAAGATGTCCCTTGCATGTTTGAAAACACTGACCCCAAGTTTTAGGGCCTAGATTTTACAATGATAAAGAAGTTAAGAGAGTAGACCATAGCCTCATATATTTTTAATGCATGATACTAATCAGTAGTTATCGACTATTTGCCGGCCATATTTATCATTATCGGATGACTTAAAAAATATGATGTTTATGTCAATGAGTTAATGCAAACTTCATTTAGCAAGACATATATGGGCTCTTAATTGAATATATTGCGGACATATTTGAGATATCTTTATTTTAGTCATCAAAGACATCATTTCAATAGTTAAGAATAAGATAATATGTTTTATCATTTTACCTATGACTGCATAGTCCTAGGGACATATATTGTGGACACCTAGCGGAGAGTAGAACACGAAACAGAGCTATAGGTAAAAATGTTGATGTTAAGTATTCGAAGGCATTTCATGTTTCAATAATCAGCTTAACTAGTCTTGAAAGTAGTTGGTTACGTACGTACTGTATACGTATAAAATACTATTAAAGTTCGAAATGCGGTTATCACGTGTATAACATATGTACAGAATTGGTCAATTGCAAATTGGTCGTCTAAAACTTATGCTTGTATATCTATTTTGGTGACTACCTTATATGATGAGGATAGCAAAATATGTCATTTTAATACTGATGAATATTTTACATTTTACTCGGAGAGAGTTAACTTTAAGCTTTAAGTTTGTAAGCTTATAAAATTGAAAAATTACATTATAGACATTAGAAGTCTTGGAAGTTATTTTACGCACTTAAATTTCGGTGCTCTAGTCGCCGCTTAATACATTTACGATTCTTTGTCTCTAATTTATTTTTGACAGTGAAAAGTTCTGTTTTATAGCCCAGTTTCATACTTTTACTCAGACTAATGATGTAAGCTTATTACAAAATTGATAGAGATAGTATAATTTCATTTCATTAATTGTGATAGTGTATTATTTCATCTACAGTATCTGCGATAAAAAACAGCTAATTATTACAGCAGTTTATGCAGTTGATACAAAAATATCTACGATTTCGTTACAGTTAATTTATGGCTGTAATGTCTCATACTTTCATGCACTGTGATGTAATATAATTGATAGCATGTGCAAGGGTATACTTCAAATTTTAATAATTACTGAGCAAATTTTTGGGAGGTGAGTAAATTTTTAACCTTTGTACTATTAAAAATAAATATAGCTGTAAGTACATTTTTTTATTTCTTTAAATTACCTTTACCTTTATAATTATTTGGTCACAAACGAGGGAAGTCATGACTGTTGTATCTGTTTTACATTGATTGCCAGATACGTGGAAGTTCTGTAGGTACTATGAATTCAACTGTTGAAAATTTATAGAGAGTTCTATTTAATTTATTACTTAGCTAAGTACTTATCTTTGCCGTTGTGATATATACCAATCACGAGATTCCAAATTTTAGAAAAATAAGGGCTTTATTGAATCTTATACAAAGATTAATTACACACAACTCTACTCTAGCTGAATACTACTACTAAAGACTTCTAGAACGAACAGAATAATCTAAAGTTGCATGCTTTTATACTTTTCGTAGCATTCGCAGCTACAATCTGCATGGCAATTGACATAGTTAAATTATTCTTAGTAACACTATTCTACTGCGGACCATCATTAATCCAATATGGATACGACTACAGTACTTACGTAGACATTATTTACACCAGCTAAAGTACAATGAATTAGCCATATCCTAATATATGATTTACAGTTCTATTTTTACCTATAGCCTTATTAGTAACTCAACACCTTACTGTATATAGTCATCTGTATTCTAGCATAGAGTCTATACCACTACAGTCTATAGTTATAGCTACCAAATATCTCTTAGAATAAATATCTACCGTATATCATACTAAACATGGCTAACAGTCTACAATCACATCATTAGTTACATTACAGCCGTAAACCAGTATCATAATTGTAACTAGGACAATACAGGTCATGACTTCAACGTCTTTTACTAATTGTTACTTATTGAAGGATCAATATTGCGGGTAAGGATTATGCTTCTAATGGGAATAGTCTGGCCATAATCGTATTGATCTCGATCATATTCGTTGGAACAGGACCGTAGAATTTCTAGGTTATAATATTTTAAAGCCATAAAGTAAGAATTTAATGGATGGCAATCCAAATATAGTACGAATATTAGAAAATTTTCACTACTCAGGGAATGAAATGGATTGTGTGAGGATAAGTCTTACGTTAAAATATCTCCAGATGAAGGCAAACAAGATAATTTACCTGAAATAAAACTGCTGCTATGCGATGATGTAATTATTAATCGAGGTGAAGAAATTGTTTAGTTACAATTCAGCGAGTTTACTAAAATATTGGTGATACGTTGCTGAAGTGGCATTAACTAGAAATAGTCACTAGATATGTATTTCTATAAACATTGTGGATTAATTTGGTTATGGAGTAAAAATCGTTTGAATGTTAAGATGAGTCATCAACACTATCTTTTGTAGCTGCTACTAAAGAGTGCAGTGTATACTAGCTCGACAGATTGCCGAATAAAATTAGTTCTCTAGCTTCATAAAGTAAAGGTAAAAGATCCAAGTTATCATAAAGAGCTAATAGATATTAATTCCTGGAAACTTCTAAAACTCAGAAGTTGCATCGTTATTGCGAAACCGGCTTGTAATTAAGGGTAAAAAGTTTGGTAGATATCAGTAATAGTATCATTACATTTTAACTTTATCTAAAAGAGATACACATTAAATATCAAGACCCACTTTCATCATGCAATTATTTCTTTATTACGAGTTTACGACAGATGAAATACGTACATTCGAACGGATCAGAGAATTAAAAATCATAAATTACATTGAACAATAATAAAATAGTAATGAGCAACGAGCTCAAGATATATACTGTATTCCAGTACAGTCTGCTATCTTGCAGACTGTCTATTTGGAACCGTACTCAATATATAAAAGTAGCAAATTGCATTTGATTACGGTATCCTTGAAGCAGATCAATATTCAATCTGCGAATTTGCTACTTTAAATATGGAAACTGAAATACGGAAGATCATATCCAATTTCTAAATATTATAACCTTAATTACTCTTGCTTTTATTATTTCTATAATTCAGAGCAGCTAATGAACAGAAATTACTAGTAATTAAGATTACATGAAAATAAAGCGAAAAGCTGAGCCAGTAAAAGTATGCATACACGGATTGGGTACTGAATGCATATACTTCATCGTTAAACTGTCGTATACGACGTAGGTAAACTTACGATTATGCTACTATATATCAATATTTGCCGCATAAATTGCTGCGACAATTATAAACTGTATCACTAAATGAACAAGGTAAACATGGTAGGTATAAATACCGCTGATAATAAGGCCAAAACTGCCCAGCGTGAATGTAAGCCTAATGCAGCACCTACAGTTCCAGCAGTCGGTTGGTTAAATTCGAAACTTGCTAGAATAGACCTACCATTTAACATCTGAATAGGTCTAAAATTTTTTTCGATGAGTACCAAATTTTGTGTGCCAACGGTGTTATTGGTTGAATATAACTTTCGAAATTCTTCTAGCTATATATGAGTAAAAGTACGATTTATTATTCCAATTCATATGGCAACAGGTAATACATAAAAATATCCTATCTAAGTTAATAGCATACTTATATTATACTTGTATAGATCAGAACAATACCGGATGTGGTATAGTTAGATAGTCAAGAAAATCATTCAGCATCATCACAGTGAGTAAGGTAATCAATAAAATGATAAAATTCTCACCTGAGCCTGTGATAACTCTAATGGCTCGGCCATAACATGCCAGGCAACATTTTCACTACACGGTGGCGTAGTTAGAGACCCATTGAAGGCAAAAAACCTTGCATCATCTTCATCAACGATCGAACGAATTTTTAGACCGCTAAAGGAATGCGATTGCCCTTTTGGTAAACAAAAATAGATAAACTTTAGATACGTGCGGACTGCTGCAAGTTTAAATACAAGTAATGATGAAATGAAAAACTAAGGTTTGAAAATTAATAGTATTAAAAATATTTTGCACTAATGATATTTACAGCGGTATGGATGTCTGCACACAATTGCATAAAAAGTAAATATAAATACCTTGATATCGGACATACTTTAGATTACTAATGACTGGATTCAGTCCACTATTATACTTTCCAACCTGAAGAGCAAAGTCAGAATAAGGGAATTTAAATTAAATCGGTACAGTATATATATATACATATATATAGCTTGATGTAATTCTGGCTAATAAGATATGAATATATTCTAGATAGATATAATTTATGATAGTATTAGAGCTAATTATAGCTATAATGAACCACCTATTTTTGCTAAGAATACCGAAATGATTACATTAATTAATTTACTTTGTATAAATTAGAGAGTACTGCAAGCCCATCAGAACTATTGGCAGCTTCAAAAAAGTCCTTGTAGCGCATGTTAGCGAAGACGATATGCTCCTAAGTTTGAATATGAATAAATGTATATAATAAATTATTTAATTTATAACTTCCTTGACAAGATCAGTGTTTCCAAATGATTAAGCATATTTAGCACCAGCTATTATTGATAAGGCTTAAGCACCTCAATTTCAAAAGTTGCTAACCTCCAATGGATATTGCAAGTTATTTAAAAATGTTTCAGATCCAACACTATTATCTGGTCCCCAATGATAGTGAAACTGTACCAATCGGTATCTACCTTTAGTTAATGGAGAATAGATGCTTGGAGTTGTATGACCTCCTATATTTACTTGTGCAGTGTGCCCGTTATTCAATAAAAGCAAAGTCTGAGTAATCGTTTCTTCGAAACCAAACAAGTCTATAGTAAGTCCTTTGATGTATTGAATCTCAGAGTAAGCAATATTGATAGGCGATTGGAGATATCCATTACATGCTTGGAAACACTGTGGCCAAGTTTTAGGGCCTAAATTACGCAAGTATCGGGAATAAATTCAGAAAGTAGGCTATAAAGTTATATTTATGTGTATATTATAGTCATCGGTCACATTATTTTCATTAGATAACTTAAGAAAATCGATATCTATGTTTATAAGTTAGTACAAGCATAAAAGCAAGTATTAGTTAATAATAAATTGAATGCAATACTAATGACATATTTGAAATAAATTTTTAATTTTACTCTGAGATACTCTTTGAGAATCTAATAATAACATGATATATTTTATCGCTTTTACCTTTAGCAGCATAGTCCCAGGCACATATATTGTGGACATCTAGTGGAAAGTAGATAATAAATTAGTGGTTTAGGAGATAACATCGCTGTTCAGCATTTGAATACATTTCGCAGTTAAGCAATCAGATTAGCGAATCTTCAGATAATAGTTACATATAAGATGCGACTAAAGTCCGAAATGCAGTCATTACCGCCCCCCCCCCTAGTACGTATATAGCGATTTAATACACAAAGAGTCGTCTAGTACTTGTATTATGCATAATAGCCAATTTGGCACTTATCGCAGATTACTAAATGTTTAGATTTATCAAGCTAATTGTATTAATAGCGATTTTATAGATCAGACTCAAGAGATGCTTGTCTCATCATGAAGTATATTATCAAAAGGAAAGATTAAGGATGTCTTATATACTCTATGTCAGTTGTCGGCATTTGTAAATACACCCCTATTCATATAATTTACATAATATATCAGCATGAAAGATACTGAAATAGGAAAATAATAGGATACGCCTAGAAATATTAATGAGCTCGCATTGTGTGTAGACAAAATTTCAAATTTTATGACATCATGAATTATTTACATTAAAGAACCATCATTGCTCGAATAATTGATGATGTAGATATTAGTGCGGAATATGAATTTGTAAGTACACTAGTATAGTAATTATCAGCTTAGTAGCTCACTAGAAATATTTTATTTTCCGTAGTATTGACTTGGATTATCTAGAGTAGGTGTCCAGTTCAATTAACATCTTAATGCTATTTAATAGGATGCTTAAACTGCTCTAGCTGCTAAAAATATTAACACAAGTGCCATAATGCACATATCAATCTAAGTATGTACGTATGGGAATTACAATCTTGACCTAAATTTATTATAAGACAGGTGATAGATATGTCATCACGACAACTACAAAAACTTTTCATTAATCATGTAGTAATTGTTAATTATTTAAAGTAAAAAAACTTAGCAAAAGAGCAGTGGTACCATCATAACGAAGCTGATACTCAAGCGATGTTTTTACAATCAAAGTTATGTCCAGAAGCTATATGACTAGAAAAATATATAATAGACAATTCAAACAAAATAGGGACAATAACCTCGCAATTGCAATTGACGCTAAAAATATTTTCTATTATAAGCAATTAATGTTGAATATTTATATAATAACTTAGATGCATGATATACAATCCTGCTACGTAGAGATAGCCTCAAGCTTTCAGTTTTCAAAGTTATGTCATACAAGCAATTACCAAAATGATCTAGATTGTTTTAAGTTAAAACGCTAAGAACTAATTTCTATATTATGAGACACTCTTGTAAATGAAGATTATAGACGCTATTAGTTTTCGGTTCTACAATGTAGATTTAACTATGTAAGACTTCCTAGGAAAGCATTGCTGCTCTTGTCTCATTTATGGTATCACAAATCAGATTACTTTGTGACTGCCTAGAATCTTTGAATGAGAATCAGTTTTTTAAAGAGATTTGTTAAAGCAAGGTCAGAAAGTATTAGATTTAGAATATCTTCACTTACGATCACCATGCACAGCTAGCGCCAAAGTATAACTTAAGGATACAAGAAATAGATTAATCAGCATTTGACGAATGAAATTCATGCTTTTAATTCGGTAACGTGCTACTGATCTTTCCAAAAAATTTACGAACTAAAATCACGATGCATAAATTTATAAATGCCCAAACAGCACGTGGCATCTAAGTACACATAGGATGAGCTACATGTAGATACATAAGAAAAGTTACATAAAGTTACATGCTATTGTATTTCATTTGAGCTACATTTGGGGATTGTAAAATAAGGCTGCATGCAACTTTCTCGTAATTTTTGACACCTAATAATTGTTTTAGTAAGTATCAGGTGACCGCTTGTATTGATTATGACTATATTATTATTCCTTCAAATTATGCAGCCGCAGGTAAGTAGGCTCATCATGCTTTGCTATATTCACATCGTTAATCGATGTTAATTATTATTCAATTAATAATAATATTATCAATGCACACGTAAAAGATTAACCAAAGCTATCGAACTCTTTTTGACTGGAAATGGACTTCAAATGACACTTTAATGAATGTGGTTTTGGGTCGTCAATGAGTTATAAAATGCATCTCTTTAATGCTCGTCTAATTTTGACTTTTCTTTTCAACAATAGTGTATTTTACAGACAAATATCGTGCTATCATATTTTTACACAGTATATTAAGTAGAATTGTATAAGACAGATTATAAATATACATATGTTCGCAGTTAAATAACTATAGTAACGATCATCCCACCTACTTTTTATGATTACAGTAATAGAATGTGTAACTTTAACGCTGATTATATAAAGGATGCAAAATTTTAATCCTAACTCCTGTTTAAATTACTTCAAGATTTTTTAATACGATACCAAATAATAAATTATGTGTAACGTAGGTTGACCATTTGATCACTTAAATTGATAGTAATTTTTTCGCTCCGTAAATTTCAGAATTTACGTCGTCACTTGATTATACAATCGGATGATTTCAGTAACTACCTAATATGATGAGAATGCCAAAGCAGTTTATTTAAACACTGATGAGCATTTTACTTTTCTGATCGGAAATGGGTTCTCTTAAGTTTCAAGTTTCTAAAGGTTGCAAATTTAATAAGTTGCTAAATTTAATTTTACCCTTAAATCAGGGCATTCTAATAACAATTTAATGTATTTACGATTAGAATAGCAAGTATACACTTAACATGAATCAGCTTATAACTTTTCTAATTTGGTAATCATTACCCATTAGTACTTTAAATCTTGTACATTTATGAATTACTTGATAGTCGAAGATCTTTTATCTCTGATTATTATGGCTTTTATTATAAAATTTACAATAATTGCATAATTCCATTTTATTCACTGTGATACTATTCCATCTTCAGTATCTGCGATAGAAGAAAATTATTATGACCGTTAACACAGTTGATACGAACAAGCCCTAGATTTCGCTACAACTCAATTATAATCGCAAGGACTCATGTGCTTATATACCGTAATTTATCATAATTTGTAGCAACGTGAAGTGAGTATACTTCAAATCCTAATAATTACTGATAATTTTTTTACTGTTATGCGTGAGTTTTAACCTTTGTACTGTCGAGAAATAAAGAATTATCTGCTGATCAAATAATAGCACTAATTGCTAAACACATAGAATCATGTAGGCGCAACGAATTTTTATCGTTGAAAATTGATAGAGAATGGCCCATAGAATTTATTACCTTGCTAATATTAACCTTTACCGTGAGGCATTAACATAATTCTAGCTTGTGCAAGACAGGTCATGACATCAATCTCTTTTACTAGATATTTGCCGACCATTAAGAGGTCAATATTGTCGGTAACGAGTATACTGTTAATGGAAGTAGTCTGTAAATAATTATATTGATTTCGATCGTAGTCGCTGTTACTTTGGAATTATTAGGCTATTACATTTTAAAGGCATGTCGTAAGAATTTAAGAAAGATAGTGTATGCATATTTTATTGTTCAGATCCAATTAAATAGAACGTATAAAGACAATTTTCTCGTTAAAATATATTCAAATGAAGGGAAATATTACAATTTACCTGAAATAAATCTTCTGCTAAGAGAGAGAGTTATTATTAACAACGCTTGAGAAATTGTTTAGTTAATCTTGGTCATGTGGCTGACTGTTCAACTTAATAGATGGTTTGATGAAGTTTAGGAATAAATATTGACTTATAAGCCGATTTTAGAAATTTCAGAACAATGGTTAAGATAAACTTTATTGTACTTTGATCACTGAAATCGCAAGGATTGTGAAATTATTTAAATAGGTCGGTCTTAAGTATAGCTGCTAATGACTTAACTAGGTTTACTCTATAACCGTGTTATATTAAAATTAATTTTAAAGGGTAGATCGATAAAACATTGTAAGATAATATCCAAGGTGAAGGCTTGAATATCAACAAATACTGCATTTCAAACAGATTTCAGTTAGGTTCATGTAAGGATAGAATTGATTGAAATATTCTATTTAGATAGAGGCAGAGTATTTATGGAGTATTGCATTGAAACTAATTTTAATTAACTCGAAAATAAGATGTTACATTACCGAAATACTATATTAAAAACATTAATATCAAATCATAAACTCCGAATTTTAGTCAATATTACATTAAAATTATATTAGCTCTGTGCTCTATTTATTAAAGCGATTTCTAATTACTCTAATGTATGCTGATAAAGTTTCTTACAAAAATTGTTGTACATAATCAAGATGAATGGAAACTTGCTAGAAAGATTAACTATAATTCGCTGAATGTTAAAACTGTCTCAAAATCATGTTGATAGATTACATATCTGGATTCAAATGACTGCTATTTACTAAGTGTATAGTGGAAAGTCAATTCAAATTAATTATTTACTGGAATATGAATAGCAAAGAATTAGCATATCCATTGTAGCAAATTGTATTAAATGACTTTATCTTCTTTTATGATAACTGAGAATATTCGTCATCTAAATCGCATGTTCGTATCGTAGTTTTATCCAATGTATAGAAGATATAAATATTCGAAATTGTATAACCATACACAGTTTTGAATATCTGTGTACCATAAATGGCTCTATCGTAAGCATAAATCTTTCCTCAGATTTTTAGCCAGCCTCTTATAAGGGGTTAGACAAAGCGAATCCGCTCCAGTCGAGGCCTAAATTCTGA